AATGCAAACCACACAATTAAGAATTATCCTTTAAACACCTAATACCATACAATTTAATAATAAAATTACAATTGTAAAGGTGCTATTGTAAATGAAAAAGTTAATACCATTCATAAGATAAAAGGAAACTTGACTATTTTATCAGATTCTTGCTAAGTAAAACTTTCTAAACATCAGATTCATAACAGATACAAATATAAATAATCAAGCAGCTTTACATAAATCTTTTTACACACTAATTTAACAAACTGTGGTGACTAAAAAATGAGTTCTTTATGTATATAAACATATGATTAAGTATAGCACCCTAGACAAAGAATTGTAAGAAAATAACTTATGTACGTATGTGCTATGATTAGGACTAGAGGGCACTTAACAACAATGTATTTACCTGATTACTGAATAGATACATGTAAGTAAAAAAAAAAAAAGTTGTATTTCTTCCTATATCTAAGAAACAGGTTATATGTCAGTGGACCTAAGTTTTCTTTCACTCTTCCAATTTTCATATAATTTCAACAGTACACTAAATAACCACGTTTCCTTTTTGACTCGTCAAAACACTTAAGTGCCCTTACTACACATATAATTTATATTCATAAGACAAGCTAAACTTCAGGTAAAAGACACCATTAAGTAAAATGAATTGAGATGTACATTTTTCACGAATAAATTGATCTATAATCATGGCTCTTAATTAACAAAAGATTATATTTAAGTCCTCTGTAAACTATATGGAATAAAATTAAGAACTTATTTTAAATAACAATTACACCTCTTCCTATTTTTTAAAAAATCCAAATAAATATTAAGAGAATGGTGAGTTGAGTTTCCATCATTATTTTTATATAAAAATTCTCTACCACAAAGATAAAGAAAATTAAGCCTTAAAATGGAAATAAAATTTTCACTACTAGTAACTCAAACACCTACACAAATCTATTAGCCAGAACTTCATGAAAAACTTCCATTGAATTATGGCCAACTATTTCAATTATACATCTTTTTTTTTCAATTATACATCTTAACATCAGAAGAAAATGTGGAACAGTTCATGAGTTAAAATTTAAAATATACACTTGTGAAAATCCTATATTCTACTAATATTAGAATAATATTTAATATGAACCAATAATTTATTCCTTAAATTTTACAGCAATTTTAGTGCAAACCACCTACTTGAGCATTTTCTACACAAAATTATTAGAAGTTATTTTTTGTATCATGTTATAGATATGGAGGACTTGAACCTGTTTCAATTAATGCCACTGTAGACTTCACAGGCAATAGTGAATGAATGAGTAGGTAAAAAAAGAGACAATAATATTTAATAGTACTATTAAGCTAATACTAGATATTAATATTTTATTAACAGATTTAATAGAAATACAAATAATAGGGTCAATCTTAGTACATGTGTAGCAGCCAGGTTCAAGATTAAAAGTGAAATAAAAAAAATAAAGAAACAAAGTATTTTATATAAAAATACAGAATAAGGTCAAGTACTTCTTCACAGCATGAGAGACTGATTAGACCTTTCCATACCTGAAACACGTCTGCTTTGTTCTTTAATAAACTGATCTCCATCTGCTCATGCCTCTGGAACTTTTTCAGCAGCCCAACCTGCTGTGCTCAAGTCTAACATAACTCTGTATTTCCCTGTTCGTAATTAACTAATTACACTCTAATCAATAGTGTAGATCCTGATTTTACAATGTAAATCAGATAAATGAGATAATGGCTGGGGGGGGAGTGTCAAACTCATTTTATTTACAAAGCTCAGCATGAGAATCCAATTTCATTATATCCAAGGTACCTGAACAGCAGTGAATCTTATCAGCAGGCCTGCAGAAAGAAAGTCTTAAGAGTGAGCACTAGAGGAAAGAGATGTACATTTCAAAAAAAGGATGAGAATTTTGCAAAGTATGACTATTTCAGAAATATTGTAAATCCCAATCCTTAATATTGTGCAAATTTGCTAGCTGCTGACTCAGAATAGCAGGAGAATAAATTTTGCTTTTATATACAAAAGGTGAATATATTAAAAGAGCTTCAAATAAAAAAAGTCAGACACTAAAAGACAAAGAATTGTTCACTTTTTGTTGCAAAGAGTTTTTATGGATTATTTTGGAGAAATAGTCATGAAGTATGCCCATAAAGTGAGCCATTTAAATTATCAGTAAGTTACATTAAATTCGTGACTTTATGAGGTTGAAATGAGTTATTGCATTAACTAGCAATCTTGGGTTAAAAACAGGGAAATAAGATCTTGAGTGTAAATATTCTTATTTACTGATCAGTAATTATCTTTAACATCATAAATATAAAACCTAAATAGTCAAGAGATATTAAGACAGACATAATAATACATAATGGCAACTTCTAAACTTAAGATGGCTAAAGGTTAAGGAAATATTATTTTCATATTCAAATATAGGTAATTCTAAGTCTCAGTACAAAGAAATTACTGTACTATGGGCAAAGGCTATATTTTTTGAGAGTTCCTTAATTCACTTCAATGCAACATTGAGTTCATAGGGAATTATACTGCAAAGACCAAAGGTGTGCAAAGACCACACCTCTCTGGTGGTTCAAATTCACCACTGCATCCACAAGAAAGATGGACAATCTCCTCAATGTGATTTATAACCTGAAAAACCCAATGGAAGCTCAGTACCGGTCAGTGCCCACTAGACCAATTAATTTTTATGTGTTCGTTTAATAAAAATAGTACACACTCATAATAAGTATATAATAAATTTTAGCTGAATTTACAAATACAAAGAAATCATAGTTATATGCTGTAAAATAAATACTTTTATCTAGAAAAAAGTAATATTGAAATTCTAAGTGCCCTTCTAAGGAGACTTAAAACATGTTCATTTATCAGACAATGTTAAGCAAAACATAAGTTTTGTGTGTTTGTTGTTTTCAGTAATATAAACATATGGTTCTCAAGGTGGCAATCTTCCTAGGAACATCACTATCACTGAAATGCACATTTCAGGCCTCACTTTAATGAGAAACTTTAGGAAGGGGTCAGGGGACAAGAAGAAGGGTATAGCTGGCAATTTGTGTAATAACAGCCTTCTTTGATTCTGGTACACAATAAAGTTTGACAACCCACTGCTATCTTTCATCCTTCCAATTCAAAGTGACTTAATTTTTTCATATTTTGATTTTGTATCCCTTTTGCAATTGTTGTTATTTGTATTACCACATGTGGGCAGTGCCAAATAACCATCATGCTGTCTTTCTCTTGCATGACTATCAACCATTTAGTGCATATTTAAGTACATATTAATATTTCCTTTAACTAGCTATTGTAACAAAGATAGATAACAATTAACTTTATGCTGCTGAAAACAGGAAAGCATTTAGGAGATAAGTCGAGAGAGAAAGTGACCCCTTTAAAAGCTCTCTTATTCCAAACACACATTTCCAGGGGTTATCATCTTGTAAGAATAGTGTAACCACTATTAAAGATTTCAAGATGGAGAATTATGATAATCAGTATTCTCACTGGAACTAAGGTGGAAATTATTTTCATTAGCAAGTGATATAAAACCCATGCAATTTTATGATTCTTAAAAGCCTTAAAGTAAAATGACCACTAGAGAGAGAAATTTCTCATCCCATACTAAAGGAGGGCTAGACCCTAATCATTAGCATACCCCATTAAGAAAATGGTAAGTCATATTTCTTAAAATCAGTAGTTAACTACTTTTTATCTTATGTAATGATAACCAGTTCTTTTTATTCTTTAAAAAAAAGTTTACTGGTTTTGCTATAGGATATTAATATAATCCCTCCAAAACTATGAGATCTTTCAATAAATTACTATCAGTTTATACATAACATTATACATTATTTTGTTAAACATTATTATCCAAATATATGATTGTTTACTATTACTATAGATTACTAGCACACAACAACTTTATATTTACACTTGGTTTTGATTATCTATAGTATTGTCTGCCCTATTCCTAAAGTTTAAACTAACTGCATAAGCCATCAAACCTGGAAAGATGTCCAAAATCACATTTATAAGTCAAGGAATTCCAAGAGGTAAGTTGACAATTTACATGTATAGATGCATTTCAATTTCAGCAACGAGTCTCTTCTAACACAGTTCAAGACGGAGTTCAAAATATTCCTGTTGCTGAGTTATAATTGATCATTAAAGCCTGGAGATCAAATTTTAATTCTGTAAACCTCTGGAAAGATATAGGTGTTGATGAAGATTTTTCAGCTGAAAAGTTGTATAGTCAATAAAGCTTTATATCTCCTTCCTTATTTCATAATATAGTATTTAAATTGAGAAAATGACATAGTGAGTTCACATTAAAACATACAAACCAAATAAATTTGGGTATTACCAAAAATTATCCCAAAATCAACACAGATAACGCTTATTCATGGACTTAAAATTGGAAATTAAAAAAAAATCATGCTAATAACATTAGTGCTTTCATACGAGGATCAGTGAGTCAAATCTAAAAGGTTAAGCTTCAAAAGTCTTTCACTTTATTGTTCATTTCTGCTGAATATTATGAATAGAAGTATATTTAGAGTGAGTCTATAGTCGTTTCACAATTCAGTTTTTCATATATGAATATACGTATTAAGTTGAATGAAACAAATCAGCAGACTAATAGGAAGTATTCTTTTCTTGTTACTGCTGGTGTTCAACAATAACAGAGAGTAGCATATTGCATTTAAGTTGCACAGGCTTCCATAAGTCTTCAGTTAAGTCCAAACACTGAATTTCATCATTTGCCAGAAAAGCAGGGTGAGAAGACATTACGTAATAGGAGAATTCTGGTAAGACATTTATCCAGTATTTTTCCACAATGCATATATCAAATGTTTCCAATTAGTCTACAAAATGAAACTAAAAAGTGCAAGTCCACACAGGCAAATGAACTGCCTTGTCAATCCAAATAACAAATCAATCAATTATATTCTATTCAAACCTGACAAGTAAATGAAACTTTGCAGTGATAAGCTTATAGAATGGACAAGATAGCTGTTCTCCTTTACTTTATGGACTCTATTGAGTTTTATCCACATTTTTAAAATCACACTTATAAAAGAGGTTTCCGGGATTGCCTCCGAGGATGAGCTGTGGCAGAGTTGGGTCTCATGAAGGGTATCTACACAGTAAAGTGATAAGAAAAGAACATTAACAGTTAAAGATCATAGCAGCTCTGCACTATGTCTCATGAAACATATGAACAATAATACCACAGTAGATTCAAATAACCTCTGATCTGGTCGATAGAACTAGATATGCTAAACCAAAAGCTATGATCATCTGTAGGTTTTCACTGGTTCTAAGGTTATCAGCTCAAATACTGAGTTGCTTTATCTTATATTATTACTGTTGTTGTGTACTGTTAAGTTAGAAATGACTCTTAGCTGACCTTCCAGCAGGTTTTCAAAAGCTCCAAATCCCATGGGAGGAGACTGCCCATCATTCTTACACAGAGCAGCTGGTGGACTGGTCCACGTACCTTTAGCCTGGCAGTGTAATTCCTCACCATTAAGCCACTAGTGCCCCCACATTATTATATTATACATTAATAAATCTCTACATAATAAACCTGCCTTGCTAAAAGAAAATATAAAAATAATGCAAGGCTTTTAGTTTACGTTTTAGCAAACGTGCTTCTAATCCATAAATACTTTGAAAGAAGGCAGTTTGCTCTTATTCATTCACTAAAGCAATTTAACAATGCTTGACAAAGTGTGTAACTCTGCTGAAAACAACTATATACTGTTAGGCTGGTTATACTCTATCACAGAGCCTCAGGGCAGAAAATTTTCATACAGTCATTCCTTCTTTCTGTAAAAGATTATACTAAAATATTTGGCTATGCTGCTTTATTTTGTAAAAGATTATACTGAAATGCTTGCTTACAACCTCTTACATATAATCCAAACTAATCAGTTCATGGACTATGGAGAAACAAGACATGATACTACACTGTAGTGACCCAATCAATAACTCTAAACTATTTTAAGTATATTAATTACGGTAAAATTTTCAAAACATAGTCTCTTTCCATTCTTTTCCCCCACAACTTTCTTCATTAATCCTTATATGTAGCTCCCTATTGACAAGGATTCATTTTCCAGAATTGTTATTTTCAGAGGAGAAATTTCAGGTGCTTAGAGAATATAGGTTGGACATACATATATATCTTTTGTTTTTTTCTTTGGTAAACAAAAAACAATCATTTCTTTCAGTTATTCAGACAAGGATAGATGTAAGTAAAATTGTAGTCACACATCATAGAAAAGGGTTTGTATTTAATTAGTAGAGATGTGTAAATGCTTCTAAGTTCCATTGAGAAGAAGAAAGGGAAAAGTGGCATAATCACAAAGACTGCTGAGTAAAGCTATCATGCTAAACTGAATAATTGCAAAAATAATAATAAAGAAGCAAAATCAAACTGTACAATAAGAAAAAAAGACTACAATGTGAAACAGATTACAGAGAAATTTTTCATTTATCAATATACAAGAAATACATAGAAAAAAAATCCCTTTCCCTTTGGAATATTAAGGTCATGTGTGCTAATTTTTTTCATGGTTTCAGTCATTTAATTGGAAAACTTGAATGTGGTCTTCTAAGAGATATTTTAAAAATAAGCAATATAGAAAAAAGCACAAAACAAGCAGAAGCAACTACATATTTTTTTAAAAATGCAACTAATTTTTAACGATGTGCACAAATCATGAAGGTTAGCAGAAAATCCAAAGCATGTATATGTATTTTACTTTGATATGCATTTGAAAATAGATACATTGGTATGGAAATCTGTTTCAAATTTCAATTTAATCCAAGCTAAAGTTACTCTCCCTCCAAAAGTTACTTTAGGAAAAAAAGAGCTATTACTATTACTCTTCATTCTACCTTTGATTTAATATTCTAATGTTTCTATTTAATCAAGGTGAAGGATATAACTTGCGTTGGTTCACATATTCCTAAAACAAAAGATCAATAACATGTTTGGGCTTTGTATTTATAGTCTATTTAGTAAGCTAATTTAATAAATGAATTAGTTATCATTTACAAAGGGTTTCCCTGATGCATACATCAGAAGCTATTTAGTCTGTACTTTTGTGTAGTTGGAATTATCTATCAAGAGAAAGTATCCAATACTTTTGTCCCAGTAAATTCTAACACAGTAAAGAAGTATTGTGTCAAATATAGAAGTCAAGCAGTAGAAGTCATATTTAGTAATACTTAGTGTCTAGGCTCAAACTCTAATTTCACCACTTTCTAGTCATGTGATCAGAGACATGTAATTTTTAGTTTACTCATCTACAAAACAGGTAAAATTCTTGTCTACCTTCCTTGGTGATTGTGAGAACTGAATAAAGTAAAACATGAAAATCACTGGTACAGGTTTATACCACATACATGGTCTAATGAAATTCTCACAATTTCAAATGTCTACCAGGAATTCAACCTCCCTATACAAAACCCTGTAATAGCCAATAAAGTCATTTATCTACCATATATTAAAAACCATTAGTAACATACTTATTTAAGTTCCTAGTATAGCCACTCTTTCCCAATATTGAGCTCAAAATTGATCAGCTTAGTTTAATATTCTCATTTTTTTCTGTTGTCACTCATTTTTGGTTAATAATTTGTTGTAACCCTGGTGCAATTTTGTCTCCTGGATCTTTCTATTCTTTCCATTTCTACTTCTATCAGTCTAGGTTCCAAGTACCTAGATAGCTACCTTGAGGCTAACTACTTATTCATCACTGTTGTTGTTGTTATGTGCTGTCGAGTAGCTTGCAACTCATAGCGACCCTATGTACAACAGCCCTAAACCCTGCTCTATCCTGTGCCAATCACACTGCCTCTGACACACGCATCCCGATTACCCCAGTCACTCAATCAATCCACCTAATAGAAAGTCTCCCCTCCTACGCCATCCCTCCACCTCATCACTGAGGGTACCATAATATCAATCTTCAAAAGTATTCTATTTATTATTATCCTTTATTTTTAATGAATTACCCTAGAAATCTTTAGTGTGAGTCTAATACCAAATATATTTGTTTCCTGTAGCTACATCATACATGAAACCACGGACCTATTTTTCACTAATTTTACACTCTTGAAAAATTTGCTACCTCCCATCTCAATCTTATGAAACCTGCTTATATTTCAAGACTCAACTCAAATGTCACCTAGGTACAAAAGGAGATGAAATATCATCATTCTTTTAGGAATGATCCCATCCTGCTCTGATTATATCCTTAAGTAATAACCCACCAGATTAATAAACCTGAAATAAATGATAAAATAAATTTTATAAGAACAATGAAATCTTATTTTAAAAGAATTTAGAAAAATATATTACACATTTCCTTTATAAATAATAGCTTCAGAAGAGCAGCCAAAATTTTAAAAAAATGTCAGATATCTAATGTTTTACATGAAAGTTAATTTTACTTTTTAAAAAAATGTACTTTTAAAAAAACAAAGAAAAAATTCCACTACACTTACAGACCATGTCACCAATGTCACAACAAAGTCTTTGATTTTTATCAAGCAATATTAAAGTTCTTTAATAATTGAAATATATTGGTAAATAAGAAAAAAACTGAATCTGAATTATTCCAGTCACTTAAAAAGGAAGTTACCGACTAACCTAATTTCACTCGGATGTGACTGAATCAGATTGATTTACTCTTTCCTTGTGCAGCCTATCTTCCTTGGACAGCTGTCTGTGTCAATCTGATTCACCAGGCAATTACACAGAGTACCTAAACTTTTCCATTCAAAGCATAACTCCTCCTTTGCTTGATTTTATTTGTACTTAGGAGTCACTTTCATATGGTTAAATCTTTTAATTTCCACAATGTTGCTTATTTATAAACTCAGTCACGTTTACTATTGTTGTTATGTGCCGTCGAGTCACTTGCGACTCATAGCGACCCTATGTACAACAGGCCTAAACTCTGCTCTGTCCTGCGCCAATCGCACTGTCTCTGACACTCCCATCCAGATTACCCAAGTCACTGAATCAATCCACCTCACAGAGGGCCTTCCTCTCCTGCGCTGTCCCTCCACTCTACCCAGCATGATGTCCCTCACCAAAGACCTGTCCCTCCTTATAGCATGTCCAAAGTATGTCAGACAAAGCCCCAGAATCCTTGCCTCCAGGAGCAGCCTCGTTTAGCCCTCTCCAGGATGAATCTGTTTGTTTTCTTGGCAGTCCAAAAAAAAAAAAATCACAAGCATGTACAAAGAGTGCATGATCAATTCAACACTGAAGACATGTTACATTTCAACAGTATACGTACAGGGTGATAACCAACCTTTTTAACTTGCTACACTTATTTACCCTAAATAGTTTTCTCAATCTTGCCTAAACATTTTAGAAATCCAGATGTAAAGCTAATACTTTATTTTAAAAAAGAAAAACAAGTTTCCAAAGTTTTAAATTTCACCATAAAATAACCAGGTAAAGCATAAAAGAAAATTATAAAGAATTAGTACTGTACTCAAGAAAGAAAGGCTGAGAGGTAATTTTTAATATATTTTAATGTTTTTCCTAAATATATTTTCACGGTCTTTGATAAAAGAGTTTAACAGTGTAATAAAACAGAACTCTGTTTTGTTTTTTGATATATAGGAAAATCGGAGTGGGAGAAAGAACCCAGAATATCTTTGCCTAGAACAGAAATAGAAATAAGTGAAGATATTATTTACTGGTTTAGAAGTGATGAAAAAAATTCAATTACTAGTTTAATTTCAGATAATATTATAGGGGGAAATTACAAAAATCTTCTTTAAAAAACTTACAGAATTTTAATGAAAAAAAATCAACATTTGACAGTAAATAAATACCTACTAAAAATTCTAGTAAGCCATTTCAGTTATTTGTTAGTGTCCTCCTAATAAAGTCAGTATACTCTAAAAGCAATTAAAATTAAAATTTATAAATGGAGAAATATTTCTAATTTCAAGCTTAATTCTTATCAGAGTGCTACTGATTAAGAAATGACACACGAAAGAAACAATTACATAATCTCACAAATAGGGAAAAATTACATAGTGTCTCTCACACACACACAGTGGTAGTCTCCAATTTATAACGCCGTTCTACTTCAACAAATTCAT